ATCTGCAGGTGCTTCGGGAATTCATCTGCTAACGGATGCATGTGGGTCACAAGCACGCCATAGACTCTGCAATATGCCTCGCCGTAGCCCCTGAACCCACTTCCTCTCCCCCTGCTGTCCTCAAGAATAAACTATTCTCTTTGTAGCCACGAATACCACTAAATCTTACTCTTGCCCCTTGCGCAACAGCCGAGTCCCTTGAGGTCCGGGCAAGGGGCGGTGCGTATGCACCGGCTGCCAGTCTCGTTGACCAAATGTAGAAGAGCTCAACGGGGACCCTCGCTACGCTGCTGCCGTCCAGGAGTAACTGAGCGACAGAATCGGTCCCCAGATGCTGCAACCCGAGCAACACCGGAAATCTAGAGCCCGAGAGGCATTATGTTGAATCTGCTCAATGATCGGGGCAACGGCCTCAATTCCGGAAAGTCGAAGCATCCTTTGAATCCCCGGGGCCAGGCACTATTGAAGCTGAGTACGGCCGAGGAGGTGTATGGGGCGATCAGGCGAGGCACTGTTATCGGGACCTGAACACAAAACGCCAAAACACCAAAAACATTGACCCCTTCCCCTACGCTTCGAACCCTGCACCCTGAGAAGCTATTATTGATTAGGGGAGCAGCCTCAAATCCCAAAATCGAAGGGTCTTACAAAATCGAAGGGTCTTATAAAACCCCCTGGACCAGGCAGTATTGAAGCCTCCTACGGATGAGAAGCGTAGAGAGCAGACAAGGCGCTGTTGAAGCTTGTTACAGCCGCTGTTGTGGCACCAAGGGCCCGAACTCAATTGAGGATCCACGACTCAAGACCGCTAGAACATTTCTATGGTTTTCGGTGGATCGACACTATGCACGGACATATGTGTGCGCACATGTGAAGGTATATAGCTGATAGCTGTGCCCGAAACCGATAGCAACCGAAACCTAAAATCCTTGCTAGGAAAACGCCTGAGTGCCCCACAAAGAACTGTCTCTCTTCTTCAAACTCCAGCCGAACACGTTGAAGCGTAGCCACCTGAGCAGCGCAGGCATATTGGCACATGTCTATGTGACCTGGAGGCAGCCTTCCAAACGGAAGGAAGTCTCAATATTGTGTGCAGCCTGCTGGCACTGATTCTGTACGCAGCTTGGAAAGCTGAAATCTTTGAAGACAATGTCTTCAAAGCGCCGGACAAAAAGCGCTCCTGCGGCATGACAGCGGGCTGTTTATTGGTTCGAGCTATTAAGACTAGTACTATTATGAAGTCCTATTGAGCCTTATTGAAGCCTATTGAGCACTATTGAGTCCCACCAGTGTCCTGCTGAGCCTTAATTACTGAGTCTGGTCCGGCCTTATTCGGGGTGTCTAAGGGTTTGGTGAGCGTGTTGCCAGCTATCCTCCTTGCTGAACAGCATGTCAGCGCACTCAGCCACGATGGCGTTGCTCACCACAGTCGCATCCCGCTTGCGCTTTCCACCCTCAACCCGAAGCCGCACCTGTCCAGGCTTGCGAGTCAACTGGTACATAGAAGCATCGATCTTCTTTGCTGCCTGTGAGATCAAATACAAACCAGAGTGCAACAGCTTCTTCTTCGCCTCTTTGAGGGATTTGCGGGTGCAGTTGGCCGGTGCTGGGTCCAGACAATACAGTACATAGTCAGAGAGCAAGGGCTTCTCCCTGGTGCTGCTCACCCAGGGCTTGGCAGCAGACATCAAGTCCAAGTCCCAATCCAGCCCGAGCTCTTCCCGAAAAGCTCGGGTAAAAACATCTGGTGCAAACCCGTCCGAGTCAACTGTGACGGTGTCATAGGAACGTAGATTGGTCTCGGGGTCGTGACGCAAAACGTCAACATAGCCCGGGCTCATCTTGTCAAGAAAAAATCGCAGAATCCTGGCGGCCGTCTGCCTGTCTTCCGGGGCTCGCTTCGTGGCGCGGAACATGAAAACAAGCGTTGCGAAAAGGTAAGAAGTTGGCAGTGACGACACCAACACTGTATCCTCCCCGTGACGATGCTTTTTAGACACAGTAGGACAGGGCACAAATGGCCAGATCTGTTTGTGTACTTCGGCAATCTCGCCAGAGGAATCCCGCAACCTTTTGCGACTCAACTTGGCAGAGCCTGTGCGATACAAAACCTCACACACGTCCCGTGTCATCCACTGACACTGTTCGTCCACACGGGCCCCTCTGGCTACCGGCACCAGCACATGTACTGCGTCTTCAGAAATCTGTAAGGTGCCTTGGCACGACTAATGCTAAAGCTGTTCGAGCACTATTGAGGGCTATTGAGGCCTATTGAAGCTTATTCAGGCTTGTTGAAGGTTTCGGGGCTCTGGTGTTGCAGTGCCAACGTCCAAATGCTGACTTGCCACGCACGTCCTGGCCGTAAGACACAGCCTCGGCCGCCGGCCCAACATCCTCATCAGAGCCCTCCCGCTCCACCAGCTGTGGCTGGTCCCCGGGGACATCGGATTCTGACATGACACGGGCGGAGTCCTAAATGCAGCTTTGGCATTACTCCCTAGATGAATCGCATGATGTGCAGGAAAAATGCACAAAGCTCACATGTAGTTTGTGATTGAGCTAGCACGGAATTGCAACTCGTCTTGGAAATCTGACTCACATGACACGGGCGGCTTCCTAAATGGTGTTTTGGCAGTACTCCCTAATCCTAAATGAATCGCATGATGTGCCTGAACAGCGCGCAAAGATCACCTGGCACACTGCAAGCTTGTGACTGAGCTAGTACGGACACTGCAGCTCGCCCTGGAACCTAGAATGCGACGGAACTCCGGAATGTGACGCTGCTTCTTGCACCAGCCACGGAAGAGTGTTCTTCATACGAGTCAACATCACACCCTCAACAGGCCAAAAGCATACTGAACAGCTGCTGCTCTCAATAAGCAAAACCAGCAATCAATACCGAAAAGATGTCGCCAACAATAAGTAGCAATAGTGCTCAACAGCCGCAGCCCGTAACAAGCAACAATAGCGCTCAATAGCGGAAAGAAGTCACCCAACAATAAGCAGCAATAGTGCTCAACAGCCGCAGCCCGTAACAAGCAACAATAGCGCTCAATAGCGGAAAGAAGTCACCCAACAATAAGCAACAATAGTGCTCAACAGCTGGCGCCCCTCAATAGGAAGGAATAGTGAACAATAAGGACTTATTGAGCGTTATTGTTTCCTCAATTGGGCGTTCAATTTGGGGTACCCCTTGTGGGGTCCCCCCCCAAGCCCCCTATGAATTAAGGACTATTCCTTAAATCATATCATGGATCCTATTAGCATTTAAGGAATATTCCTTAATTAAGGGATATTGGAGTCTCTGGGTTTCGTGCTTGGCGGCTGTCTTTTGCTGGCTCACCCTTTTTGTTTTTTGTTTTTTTGGGGGGCGGGGTGGTTTTATCAGGGTTCTATAAGGGCTTTAGGGTTCAGGGTTAAGGGTCCAAGTACCCAAATAGTATATACTTTGGCCCTTAAGTATCCTTGTAGGGATTGTTTTAAGGCCAAAGCATATGCTATTTGTGTACATGGACCCTTAGGGTCATGCATGCAGGGTCCGGGTACAAGACAGGAACAGCTGCGGCTGCGCGACGAGAAAGTGACCGCCACAATGAAGATCACGCTTTTGCAGAATTGATACCGGTCTCCTTGTCGTAGTAGTAGTAGTAGTAGTAGTAGTAGTAGCAGGAGAAGTAGTAGTAGTAGTAGTAGTAGTAGTAGTAGTAGTAGTACTAGTAGTAGTAGTAGTAGTAGTAGTAGTAGTAGTAGTAGTAGTAGTAGTAGTAGGAGTGGTAGTCTTGGCGGTGGTAGCGGTATGGGTAGTGATTGCAGGTAGTGGTAGCCGTAGGAGTAGTGGAAGTGGTAGCACCAGCAGCAGCGGCATTTTAGCAGCACCGGCAGTACTAAGTTTCTTTTCTTAATCCATATGGCGACGTGTCGTGATGTGATTTCATTCGTCAACGATGAGAATGGTGATGGATTCATCGTACAAGTCCACACAAGTACAACTTCAGGGTGATCCGAAACGTTCGGATGTGATGTTGAAGCGTCCAGAGAAACTTATCGAATGCACTTGGTTATTTGGCTCTCTTCAAATGGCCTTAAGTGCCCGAGGTGGTGCACAATTCGCAAAGTGGAAAATGATACAAAACCTCGGTCCATACTTTCTGGCACCTAAATTCAAGCCTCAAAAAGCCAGCGTCAACCAGTGATTCTTGACCTTGTCGCAAGATTTACCGTGTACGTCTTCGGACGTAGAGTTTGGTGGGTTTGGAGTTCCGGTTGCACAATTCAAAGCTCAGACGTTTCCATGGGCCATAGTCCTTGACATTTTCGGCTTTTCGGGATCCGAACATTCCGGCTTTGCAGACCGCAGCTATGGGAGATGTCATAGCGACGCAGAAGATCCCGCAAGCTTACACCAATATCCTAAGCCCCTACACCCCAAACTTAAGCCCCACGGGAAATGGGCTTTAATTAAACAAACAACCTGCAGCCCCAAGTCGTCGTGAAGCAACAACAAAGCCAACCCCCTCCCGAACCCACAAAGGATATCCATCCCGCCTGTCCACTGATGTTTAGGGTTTGCAGGGTTTAGGACCCATCTTAACTTAAGAACTCATCTGAGGAAATCACAATAAGGAACTTTTAAGGAACCCTAAAAAAATAGGTGGTACCAGGTAGGGTTTAGGATTTAATTTCTGGTTTAGGGCCTCTTTGAGCAGATTTAGGCTTATCTTTGGTGCAGTCTCAGGGCTTTGCCGGGGCTGCTCATAGTAAGTATGCCTTTAGACTTCATCTGAACTGCATTACGGGGCTGTTCTGATTCTAACTATTCCGACCTTTCCTTTGTCGGCAAACCCAACATGCTACTTCACAGCAGAGAAGCTGTGAAAACCCTAAGCCCTAAACTACTAAATCCCTAAACACTGAACTGCTAAAACCCTCTACCCTAAGCCCTAAACTGCTACAACCCAAAACTCTAAAGCCCACAAAAGAAACTGCTAAAGCCCACGGAGGTTGGTGTGAAGTCGCAGCCCAAAGATGGCATTCTTCCAACGTGGCTGGAATCAAAATTGCTGGTTTTGGGTTTGGGGCTTTGGGGGTTTAGGCTTTTCGGGGTTTGGGGTTGAGGGTTTGGGGTTTAGGGTTTGGGATCTAGGGTTTTGAGCTTTGTGGTTTAGGGCTTTAGGGTTGCCGGGGTTAGGACTTTAGCGGTTGTGGGGTTTAGGGCGTCAGGGCTTTAAAGTTGCAGGGCTTGGGGCCTTAAGCCCAAACTCCTGAACCACCACGTATCACACTGTGTTGCATGGGTAAGTCAGGGCTAAAGCTTGCAGACTCCTTCTGTGCTACCTCCGTGTCTGGACCGTCTAGTTTATGTTTGGAGGGCTTCCAGGTTTAATTTAAGGGTCCAGGGTGTGATCTCTGCTTGTCTTTGCATTAATGTGGTGCGTCGGAAGTGGCGCCAGAACGAACCTCAATGTGGCAATTGCTTGAAAACTGAAGCAGGAAGGGTCCGTAAGCCTCGAAAATCCGAACCCAATCTCAATATGGGTAATATGGGAGTTTCCGAAAATAGGGGTACCTTATTTTGGGATCCTTATAACAAGGATCCTAGTATTTGGGGTACTTGATGAAGGTCCCCCATTTTCGGAAACCCCCATAAACCCTAAACCCTAAACCCTAAACCCTAAACCCATATCCCAAGAAATGAGCCTTTTTTGCGTGAGCCCTTTGCTGCAAGGCAGCGCTCCAGGCGCTTTCTGTTGTTGGGGTGTACTTAAAGGATCATGGGACTTAGTAACTGGGCTCTTTAAAGGGGGATCTATAGGGTTTCTTAAAGGGATCTATGGGGTTTAGGGTTTAGGGCCTACTTGAAGGATCATGGGACTTAGTAACTAGGGTTATACTTGGGGGTGACGCTACTTATAACTACTTATAACCCCAATTAAGGTACTTATAACTTTGCTTACTAAGTCCCATGATCTTCCAAGTAATGTTTGCCTGGGTCTAGCAACTGGTCACAGAGTTTACAAAGTGTGTTCAGGCTGCGTGGGTTATTACTGGCATTCAATAGCTCGCCTTCTTCTACGTGTAAGGTTACTTGCCTTGCCTCCTGAAGCAGTATATGATGGCATATCACAGTTAAAACCATAAGCCCTAAACCCTAAACGTCATAGTTTCTACTGGTTGCCCTAAGCCTAAACCCTAATCGTTCTTCAACGAGGCTTCAGGCATCAGGCTCAGCTTTCTTGTGAATTGGCACGGGGACTCTGAGGAGGATCCCCGCTAAATCGAAGACCCCCTACTGGTTCGGATTCCGAGGGAAAGAGCTGCTGCTTGCATTAGGGGAAAAACCGTAACTCGAAAAGTTGCAACATTAACCCTGGCTGCCAACCCCAGTCGTCAATACCGAAACCTTACGCTGAACTTTGAGAGCTGGGGTGGTCAGACTATGCCATGCCTGTACATACGCACGTGGTGTGCATATGTGGATGCATGCATATGCGTATGTATGTATGTATGTATGTATGTATGTATGTATGTATAAAATGTACGTTTGTATGCATACATGTATGCATGCATGTACGTATGTATGTATGTAAGTATGTATGTGTGCATGTGTGTGTATGTGTTTGCATGTGTATGTAGGTATGTGTGTGTGTGTGTGTGTGTGCGATTATGTGGATGCGCATATGGCTGCGTGCGTCTATGTGCATGTGGATCGACAGCATGTAATCCAAACACCAAGAGAGACAAATAGATGGGTAGATCGATAGGTACATAGGTAGATAGAAGAGAGAGAGAGAGAGAGAGAGAGAGAGAGAGAGAGAAGAGAGAAGAGAGAAGAGAGAAGAGAGACGAGAGACGAGAGAAGAGAGAAGAGAGAAGAGAGAAGAGAGAAGAGAGAAGAGAGAAGAGAGAAGAGAGAAGAGAGAAGAGAGAAGAGAGAAGAGAGAAGAGAGAAGAGAGAGAGAGAGAGAGAGAGAAGAGAGAAGAGAGAGAGAGAGAGAGAGAGAGAGAGAGAGAGAGAGAGAGCGAGAGAGAGAGAAGAGAGAAGAGAGAAGAGAGAAGAGAGAAGAGAGAAGAGAGAAGAGAGAAGAGAGAAGAGAGAAGAGAGAAGAGAGAAGAGAGAAGAGAGAGAAGAGAGGAGAGAGAGAGAGAGAGAGAGAGAAGAGAGAAGAGAGAAGAGAGAAGAGAGAAGAGAGAAGAGAGAAGAGAGAAGAGAGAAGAGAGAGAGAGAAGAGAGAAGAGAGAAGAGAGAAGAGAGAAGAGAGAAGAGAGAAGAGAGAAGAGAGAAGAGAGAAGAGAGAAGAGAGAAGAGAGAAGAGAGAGAGAGAGAAGAGAGAAGAGAAGAAGAGAGAAGAGAGAGAGAGAAAGAGAGGGAGGGAGAGAGGGAGGGAGAGATGGAGAGAGGGGAGAGAGGGGAGAGAGCGTGAGATAGAGATAGGTAGACAGGTAGATAGACAGATGGATAGGCAGGTAGGTAGACAGACATGTAATATAGACAGGTAGATG